GTGTGGTGTTGCTTCTATCTTATGTATATCGATTGCTGTGTGGCGTTGCCCCTATCCTGTTTACAGTGCTTGCTGTGTGGTTTTGCTTCCATCTTATGTACATCGGTTGCTGGGTGGCATTGCCCCTATCCTGTTTACAGCGCTTGCTGTGTGGTCTTGCTTCTATGTTATGTACATCGGTTGCTGCGTGGCGTTGCCCCTATCCTGTCTACAGCGCTTGCTGTGTGGTCTTGTTTCTATCTTACGTACATCGATGGCTGTGTTGCGTTGCCCCTATCCTGTTTACAGCGCTTGCTGTGTGGATTTGCTTCTATTTTATGTACATCGGTTGCTGCGAGGCATTGCCCTTATCCCGTTTTTACAGCGATTGCTGTGTGGCGTTGCCCCTATCCTGTTTACATCGCTTGCTGTGTGGTCTTGCTTCTGTCTTACGTACATCGATTGCCGTGTGGCATTGCCCCTATCCTGTTTACAGCACTTGCTATGTGGCATTGCCCGTTTCCTGGTGACAGCGCTTGCTGTGTGGTTTCGCTATGGAGTGAGTGTCTCACCACGCCCAGGGCCACTGCACAAAATCGCCTCTGCTTGTATTCCATTCCGACTTGGGAGGTGGAGCGAGTGGCCTTGACCTTGTCAGGTCCAGCGTCGTGGACCCCAGCATTCCCCAGAAGCATCTGGGACTTCACCCTCCACTTTGAACCGGGAGGCCTCTTGGGAATTGCTGAAGGCTTTCTTCTGATGACATCTTTCCCTGTCGATGAAAGGAAGAGCATGTCGGTGACCCGTTGCATCCCATTCATGTCGACTCTGGCGACGCTGCAGCTCTTGCAGCTCAGATGTGCCCGAGTGAAATGGCATTATAAATTATAATCCGACTGTGTTCGGGACACTCAAGGCCGCAGCAGAAATCCACCTTGATGATCAAGCTGGGCTGGGCACGACAGATGTGGAGCCCCCGAGAGAGGCTTCTCGGAGTCACGCGGTAGGACACATGTCAGGCGTTCTGCGATTGACTGCTCCCCCTTCATGCGGACTCTCGCGTTAGTTGACAGGTGACGCCTGACTTCCAGCTCGCTGCCTTCTGTCTGACATCAAGACCTGTGTTTCGAGTGTCTTGTGAGCCTGCCGCTGCAAATCTGTTACCTGCAAGCTGAGGAAGCAGTTTCGCACATTCTCAGCGATAGGTGCACTCTCGACGGAGTGTGGCAGGCACCAGTGAGACTCAGACACCACGTCCGGGAGCTGGGGATTGCCGTATTTGCCGTGCTTGGGATGCAGCATTCCCTGATCTCTGTTTGGATGTTCCAAAGACAGCTGTACACAAGGACCGCCTGTACCAGTTCAGCTCGTCTTCTCGCAAGACGCGTTGCGCTCCTCGGGGTGCGTGATGAAGTGTGCAGGAGATGCAGAGCTTCTGGATGCCGAGCAGTTGCACAAGCTTACGTCGGGAGCCACGTTTGCATTTCCATGGCCTTGCATGCCAGTCACAGCGGCAAAGGCAGATGCTCATTGACCGGTTTGGGTGTACTTCCCCTGCTACCCTGGATCGAATTGGTCACGTCTACGTCTACGTTGCCACTCGTTAGCAGCCACGGCTGACATGGCCCCTGCGCGGAGATTCTATGCACGGGTCGTCTGAGGTGGCCACCTCCGGCAGATTGGAGCAAGGACACCACGGTTAGTACTTGTCCTGCAATCACAGGAATGTGCTGTGATGTTTTGTTGCAGCTGCTTTTCTCGAGTTGCGCAGTTGCTTCTGAATCGCAGGCTTGGCTGAGCTCGAGTTCCGCGGGTACGTCGCGGCTGTCCGGGCCTCGGGCGACTTTTCCCGAAGCTAGAACCCGGGCAGCTCTGACACCTCGCCTGGCTGAGTTCGAGTTGGATCAGCCGGTACATCTCCGAGCTAAGCAGTTGCTGCCTTCTGTGCCACCACGAGTGTGGAAGCACGCGGGAGCATGAAGAATGCGATGAGTCTGGCATCAAGCCAGAGCTTGATAGCTTCGAGGAGTCTGCATGGGATCAGCATGAGCACGAAGACTGGCGTGAGTTATCAACCACGCAGAAGCCTGCAGAGGCCGTCCCCGGGAAGAAGACACGTGGAGGGCAGCGAAAGCGGCCAACGCGAAAGGCCGACAGTATGGAGTCCAGCTTCCACCTCAGTTTCGAGGGCAAGCATCCCAAAGCAGCTGTGAACATGTTCCTCTTTCGGTACACGGGGAGGGACGTCATCAAGGATGAAGATTTTGGTACAGCTGCGAAGAGAGATCCCATGGCATCGAATGCAGTTTGCACATCCCGGCGTGGCGAAGCGGAGCAATCTACGTCGGCCAAGCTTGCGAATCAAGTGCCCAGACGGAGGTGTCCGCTGCAGAGAAGTTCCTGCAAGATCCTGACGATGTTGAGGCTGCAGAGCACCTACCGCCGACAATGCGGGTGGTGAAGTATCACACTCGCGAGACGAAGTCCCAGCGCGAAGATCTCAGAAACAGTGGCCAACTTCAGCAGCTGCGAAATGAAATGGTTCGGTCCTCACCTATGTCTTATATGGGGAGAATGTTCGGGCCCTGTTACTGTAGGGTTTAGGGTCTAGTCAGTCAGTGATGAGGCAGGCTTGGGGTTTGTCCGCAGTTGAGAAGGAGCGAGGAGGGGGCTCTAATCCGGACTCATCTTGGAGACGTATGCAAGCAGATGTCGAAGCGCGGTCGTGTGCAAAAGTGCTCAAGTTCCATGCCTGACAAGACCCGTCCCGGCCGCTTTACCTCCCTATGGCGCGCCAATTGTCGCCAGAGACATGCTGTCGCTCCAGTGTCCTGCAGCAGCTCGACACCTGGGCGTGCCCTGGCACACGTGAGCGATGCTTTGCAAGACCGCGATGCCATGCGATGCCTCAGCTTGCGTCCGAGGCACTACCCACACCAAGCGCGGCTCCTTTTCCTTGAGCAGCTGGCACTGGAGCTCTCTGAGAAATTGGATGTGTCAGGCGATGCCTCGTCCAGGCAGTTTGCTAGAGTGTTGTCTCTACTTGTAACCTGGAGTGCGAGGCGCGGTGTCAGATCACAACGACCATCCAGAGCTGTCAGCATTTCCGCCTGCTGCTTCGGTGTACATTGCCACGGAGAATGGTGGGCGCTGCTCTCAGATCTCACGATGCGATTTGGCTCTTCTGCAGCCGCTTGAGTTTAACGATTGTTGTCTGCTAGCCTGGAGTTGTGCTTTGCCAAAGCCGTTGCAGCAGAAGGCTACAGCGCAAGACCTGGGGCTCATCGGAGGATGTCCAGGCGATGATCAATATCGAGGCGACAGTGGTTTGCACCTTGGTTCCACTTCTGCTAGCTTCTGGACCGGCGCAAAGTCAAGGTCGAAGAGCCTCCGAAGCCCCGCCCACCGGCTTCACAAAGCCGTGCGAAGGCCATCTGGGAGCTGTAGCATCGCCCCGGTAAGTAGGGTCGGGCGTCCGTCACCACTGATCTTAGCCAGTATCTGATCTTCAAACGCTGTAGCCAGAAAGGATCCTGGATACTCTTTTTTTCTCACAGGTTGCAACGCATGGACATTCGCTATCGGGCTTCTTGGCCCTTCTCCTTCGTGCCGCTGCGGCCTTGGCTTCAGCAGTGCAAAAGCGCAACATCAGCTTGACACTTCGTTGCACAACCGAGGCTTCACCGTCAGTGAAGCCTTAGACCATGAGTGGCTCCGTCCCTTGTAGACGGACAGGAAAGGAGGAGCAGAGGTCGTCAAGAAAAGGAAGTCAAGCACGAAGAGCAACCAATGGCGGGTTGTTACATGTTTACCCTTACGTATAGCGTTCTCGAGGCAGACAGCTGAACTGTGAGATTCTTGTGAGAAACGTGGAATGCAAACGACCACAGACTGCCTTCGGCTCTCCTTTCAAGGATCATGCATTTGAAGGTATTTAAGACTTCTTCATTCATGTGATGCCAATATGTCCCTTACCATCCCAGCCTGCCTAGGGAATGATGTGCATTTCCAGCATGATGTAACGAGCCCCAGAGCGCCAGCTAATGCTAGGAGCCTCAATTGACGTAATCCCAGCAAAGTTCCAAGACTGGAGCCGTAAACCCTAATCGCTTCATGGCTTGTGCGCATGCGCACTTGGCGGCGAGTGCAGCTGCGCACACGTGCACAGCCACACTTCCTCCAAGGCGTGGCCACAGACATTGGGTTCAGGGAAGCAGCATGAAGTCTTCGCTCAGAGTCTCTACCATTTCTACCTTGCAGAGGTTGCGTGTGTAACTTCCCGGCAGGCGTATTTACCTCTACGTTGCCTTGGCCGTGTTGGCATTGCTGGAGGGGACCAGCGCTTAGCGTGATCAACCACGGCCGCAGCTACGCCAGTTATCGGCTTGTTTCCAGCCTCTTCCATACGGTGATTGCGTCGACTGCCGTTGCTTTACGACAACCAAGGGTGGCGGCGGCAGCTGCAGATCTCGCCAATTTTACTGTTCCCACCCCAGCAGCCTCGGTATATCTCGGTATTCTGGAGAGCAAGCCTGAGCCCGCTGTTTCTGCCATAGATTGGATACTGTGCTCAGGTAGAAGGTGAGACGTTGAAAGATGTCGACCCAGCCAAGCTCTTAACGGAATAAAGCAGGATCTACCGTTTGTGTGGGATTTGACTCTATCAGAACGCAGTTCTTGGGGAGATTTCGTTGTCGAGTTGAGTTGAGAAGATTTCGTTTTCCAGCTGCGTCATGAACTTGAGCGGCCTGCATTCTGCCCTCATGCCTTTAAGGACCCAGCAGATCTCGGGCACGGTCGGGTGGACCCCGCTGAACGAAACTGAGGTCAGAAGTTGTGGTGATGTACGTATGGTGTGCGCCAAAAAACTGTATTCGTTGGTCAGAAGGCTACAGCTTCCGTTTAGGCATGCGCAGGCACACGACAAGTACATTCCAAACTACGCTTGTCTCAATAATGCAGCATGGGTTGACGCAGAAAGCAGCGGGCACATAAGAATAGGAGAGGGGTTGGTTGCACTTGGTGGGCTCATGCTCAGGATTTTATGTGGATTATTTCCTGGGTCCTAACCCCTGTAGCCTTTGGGGGGGAGGCTCTGAGACATTACGCCTGCTGCTTTCTCTTTTCTGTTTCCGCACCAAAGATTCCGATAAATCTGTTCGGAGTGCCTGAAAGAGTATCCGGGCAATTGCTTTTTGTGCGCTGTCAGCAAGAGAATCACTCATAGCACGGCCCTGCGAGTAGGATCTCCACGAGGTTCTGGCTAAGCCACGGCTCAGTGCTGTCCCAGATCGCAGACTCATCAACCGTGACTAGGTCAGGCATGGCAGCTGGAGCAGAGGGGTGCTTGTGCTGGTGCCGGTGCTGGTGCTGGTGCTGGTCGTGGTCGTGGTCGTGGTCGTGGTGGTGGTGGTGGTGGTGCCGTCGGCTGCGGTGCAGGTGGTAGTAGCATGAAGAAGAAGGCAATGAAGAAGAAGCAGAAGGAAGAAGAAAATGGTGGGGATCAACACCGCTTTCAGTACACCTCATGCGTGTGATGGTCGAACTGATGCTGGTGAGGACAGTGGCGCTGATGGACACGGCTGCTCGAAGTGCTGTTTGTAGTCATGCAGGTGGTGGTGACAGTGTTGCCACGCGTAACAGCGCAGCGTGAGTCATCTTAATGTGTTGATGTTGGGTGGTGAACCTGGTCAAATCAAATCTGCGCAGCAGTGCAAGAGCTGAAAGTCTAGGCTGGCATGTTGCGGCTGCTGAGATTGCTGTTCCGCCAATCATTTCAGACTGAGCTGCGCTTGTGACATGACATGTTTTGTTGCAGAGAATGCCCAAGCTTTGATTCCGGCTGGTTTGTCTAGTGGGCCGCCTGTTCTGCAAGACATTGAAATCATAGCTGGAAAGTCAAAATGGAGTAGGAAGATAGAAGCTGCAGAAGGGAAGGGTTCCTCCTGCTTCACGGATTGCCTTGCCGGCTTGCCAGATACCCTGCTGTATCACCCTGTCGCCATTGGCTCCAGCCTTGTCTCCCGGCAGTTAGCTCACCAGCAAGGAGAATCATGTGCAGGCCACAGCCTGGACCATTCGTCTAACAACTCCTGCAGACAAAAAGGAGAAGGGCACTAGCACCTTTCGGATTGCACCGTTGCGCATAGTGAGCAAAGGTTGAGCCAGCCATCACGTCGTCGCTTATGGGTTTAGACTCGGACGGAGAAGTGCAAGAGGACACTGGGGGGCTTTTTGCGTAAGGCTCACCTTCCCGCCAGTTCTGAAAAGATGGAGGCTGAAATTGTTGAGCTCGTTCCATTGCAGCCTCAAGAGCTCGCTTCTGCGGGCATCCTTGACACAGAATTATGCTGGAAACAGCTCGGCGGACAGCGGGCATCTTCGGCAAGAGCTGGCCGTCTTTGGCGGGATAAGCAAGGCGTTTCTTGGAAGCAGCCTTGGCATCGTCCGACCTCGCAGATTTGGCCCGGTCAGCCCGCGCAGGAAGCTCTGGAAGTGGAAGATGGTGAGATCGACGAGGCAAGGAGAGGGCCACTCTTTGCTCTTGACGGCTCTCTCTTTCGGCAGCTTGTGAGATTGCTTTTGTCACAACTGTCTCGGCTATGAAGCACTTTGCTTTGCATGACGGTTGTCTCCCCAACCGGCAAGCTCAGGGGCATCGGCTTCCGCAGTCTGCGGGTGCGGGAACATGGGATTCGGGAAGCGTAGCGAAGGTCGAACTTGGTTGCCGTTAAAAGAGTTGGCACTGAGCCGTCATCTTCTTTGTGAAGGGGTTCGTTCAGGAGTTCAAGTTCGGGATTTGCTCAGCATGGCCTTTCCCGTTGCTTCGGCCTGCCACTAGGAGCGGCCTCTCGGTATTGACCCGCAGAATCAGTATGAAGTTTTGCACTCGCGGCAGATTAGGGGTCTTGTTGCTCTGCTTCCACTGTTGGACTTTTTTCGTCCAAAGCAGCAATGCCCTTTTGTGGGTTGGCTAATTTTGTCAGTTAGTCATTCTCGTGATTGGGTTCATTCTGCATCTGCAGCCTGTCTACTCGAAGCTCTTTTCGCGTGTCCACTCATGCTGTCCTGATTTTCGCGACTGTTGCTGTGTGCAGGAGCTCCCTGCAGAGAAAGCAGAGGCCGCCGCCTAAGCGGGTCTGAGTGCCTTAGCTTAACCGGATGTTCGAGTGGCAGCTCGGCCAGAACGCACCGGTGTTCCGGTGTTCAGTTGACTGTCGTGTGTCCTCTGGCCTTTGGCAGCAATTTTCGTTGGAACTGCATCGAGCAGGGTTCGAGCCACGGAGGCTTCTCGCAATTTTGTCTCGGCTGGCCAAGCCAGGCCGGGCTCGTAAGACGACCCTCGGCTTCCTTTGCCCGAAACCTCGCCCGACAAGCGAATAAACATGACAAGGTCGACTTTGCAAGTGCAGAGACGGAAGATGAAGACGGCGAAGTGTCGGACAAGGCACACGCGAATTTCTGATCGCTGTTGTCTCATAATTAAGCATTATAGCCGTTTGGACCGAGACCCACAGGAGTA